GTCATTTCACAGCATTTTCACAGATGTGTTACCTTTGATTGGACTGATTCTGTATGCATGTGTGGTGGTGTGAAGGCAGAATACCGGTAAATGTGACTAAATGGGGTTGATAATGCCAACCGGGGAGGGGATTACACCCCAAGAGAGATTACAGTAGCTAGTGCAAATGTTGTACTAGTTACAAAAGCCCACAGGCTTGTTATTAACAAGCAAAAGTAAGGACAAAACTACTCAAAGCGTAGAGCAGAAAAAAAAAACTTTTTGTTGTTCTTTAATTAAAATTCTCATATCGCTTCCTGTTCCTGCTCAAACACAGTGATGTTTCTGAGTAGCTTATCTGCTTAGCAATTTAATTAAAAACTTTTAAATAGATTATTTTTTCATAGTATAATCTTCACATGCTTCATCCGAAGCACACTTTCAATGTACTCACTACCTAATTTATAGCCAAAGTATTCACTCACTGTCTCTGTACTGTTTCGCTAGCTTAGCTTAGCTCGTAGCCGACTCGTTAGCACCATGGCTACTTCACCTGTCCCTCCTACACTTTCCTGCTCATTGTGTCAGATGTTTAGCTACTCCTCGGCCTCCTTTAGCAGTAATGATACCTGTAACAAATGTAGCATATTTGCAGCTCCGGAGTCCAGGATTACTGAATTGGAAGTCACTAAAATCAATATTGAATCGGTGTGTAACTTTGCCAAAACAATGTCGGACTCTGTAGTTTTCTCTGGTCCCCTCCCCAATCAGACCAGGAGTGACATGTTTAGCCGCATGTTCTCCTTAAATTGCTTGCTGACTGAGTGGTGTCCCAGAAACAATGTGGGCTTCATAGATAATTGGCAAACCTTCTGGAGGAAACCTGGTCTTGTTAGGAGAGACGGCATCCATCCCACTTTGGATGGAGCAGCTCTCATTTCTAGAAATATGGACAAATTTATTAAACCCCCCAAAATATGACTATCCAGAGTTGGGACCAGGAAGCAGAGTTGCAGTCTTACACGGCTACGTCTCTCTGCAGCTTCTCTCCTCCTGCTACCCACCCCAAAAACCCATCTCCATTGAGACTGTGTCAGCTCCCAAACAGACAAAAAACAAACTAAAAACCAGCAATAAACAACTTAAACATAAAAAATCACAAAGATTAAACAACACATTTAGTGAGACTATTTTTCTATTGTTTTCACTTTTTTGTATACTTTACTTTGAATAAAACACTTTAACAAATAAAAGGATCCAAAATATTATTTTCAGTGACTAACCTCAGCAGAATGTCCTCACAGTATGAACACACATATTGCTCACAGTAATAATCATACTATAACCTTTTGTCTGCAGGCTGTTATTGTTTTACTATCACTGATGCTCAATATTGATTAACACTGCAGACACAGTACTGCTGTGGGTTTAACACTTTTAACAGCCTTCTTTATGCAACCTTTTGCCTAGATGCTTTTTTACTGTGGTCATATTTTATACGGTGATTATGTAAAACCTAAAACTGCAAGACAAAATACAGCTGCAAAATAAATTTAGCATAAAAAGTAGTTTTTTCTTTTAACAACAAAAAAAAATGCTTATAAATTTGTTTTAATTGAAATTAAATTAATGTACCTAATAATGTTCCTCTTTGTGAAAGCAGCATTTAATTGCCGTAACATTTTGATGTCAACTTTAACCTCTTAAGCCCCAACACCCCCTGATATGGGGGCAAAAGGCAGGAGATCAGTTAGGCTTGGGGTTTAAGAGGTTAAAGAACTTCTTTACCTACATTTGTTTTATCTTAACTTGATCTGTAAGGTAATCAGAAACTGTGCTTTCATGCAGTTCATGAATGGACCTCACCTCTGTACTGAGCAACAACAAAAAAATGTTGTTACATAACATCTGTATCGCACTGAAAGCTTCTCATTAAAATTATCTCGATCCATGTTTAGAACACCCACCCTGCCTTCAGAGAATTAGGTAAAAGTTCAGTTAAAGATTTGATTTGAAATCATTCCTTTGCTGGAAAAAAAAGACTCATGGTTTCAGATTTTCCCCTTGAGAAGCGTGTGGGTGAAGTTACAATTTAAGTACTTTGAGGAATCAGTTACTACATCAAATGACAGCAAGGATGGAAAGTATAATTCTAACCAGTGCCCTTTAATGACCTTACCTATTTTAACAGTCAACTGAAAAGCACTTTGGACCAATCCATACTGTTTTAAAATGTGCTATATAAACAAAAGT